GTGCTTCCATGTGGATCGCTGCTTGTGTGGAGGACTACACCAAAGTCCTCAGGCAGATTTCAGTCAAATTTATGAAACCTGTCCACTTGGTCAATCTGTTAGAAAGCACTGCATGATATTGACCTGTCTTTTCTTTCCTATTTTATCTATCCATCTGTCTTTAACTGCTAAATCTCTTAATTAATTTATCTGATACGAGACGGTAGATCTTTAGGTGAATATGACAAATCACTGTTAAAGTAAACTTGATAATTTCTTTTAAAAGTATAGCTAAGCTTTAAATAAATAAAACATATTTAGAAGAATTACAACCAGTGCATTTTTCTTTTGCTGGATGGACTGTGTTGCTACAGGGTTTGACAGATCCCACATTATGTCATTAAAAATTAATGTTAAATATGCATAACTTGTGATCATATGTCGCATTTCAGCCCGATATCAAAACTGGAGTCTGGCTTTTAGTTGGATTTCATGACAGAGGCCCCAAAAATAATTCAAAACAAGCCAGTAAGGATGTAATAGAAAAAAAAATACACCTCTTATAAACAGTCTTGTAAATATTTATAGGCTTTAATGACAAGGACACATTCCTTTACTGTGGACACTGATATATTGTAGGGCGTGTCTCACCACGTTATTAATGGAACAGAAGTCTCAATTATTAACAGCAGCGTTATTAACAGCTATGCCGACTCAGATTCTGAGTTTAAACATTTATAGAATTATTATTGGTGTGACAGAGCAAGAGCAAGAGATTGATCTCTTGCATTTCTGTGCGTATGTGTGTGCTTGTGAGAGAGGAAGAGAGGGAGAGTAAAAGGAAAAGGAATCTGTTCTTGCTGGGGGTAGCCTCAAGTTTTTTTTTTTGGAATACTTAATATAAATATGACTTACTATTTTACACTTTGACGTTATGCCTGATGCGGAAGTTTTATTAATTAAAGTTTTGTTTGTTTGTTTTTAGGTACACAGTCATCTACTGTGTCATACCTTAGCTATTTGACTGTTACCTTATGAGCCATTCCTTCATTCCTATAGCGAAGTTTAAATACCCACAAAGAAGTCAGAAGGTGAAATCTTACAAGGCAGCGTCTTCTGTGTCTTACTTGTTTCTCCGAGACTATCCTCCTGTAAAAGACGGCAGTAGATGCCATTTGTGCCAGCAGGTTATTATGACGAACTGTTATGTGTTATAGTTTGGTGATATCTAGCGACCATATTCATTATGACACAAGGAAAGGAGTAAGTAACAGAGTCTGTGTTAGGAGGAGGTTGCAGTGGATGGATATTTAGGACAGCCAAGTTCAATTCCAGTGTGTGGCTTGTGTATTTCAAGAGATTTTATTCCTAAACATAATGTGGTTTTATTTCCAAACAAGCTAATCAATAGATTTCTTAGTTCCTCTGTCTGGGGTCATAGAAATGTTTGCATAGATAGGTTTTTGTGCTTCTGTGTGAGTTGCATTACATGTCTTTGTGATATTTATGTATTTCTTCTTGAGCCTTCTTCTTGATTTTCCTTTTATGAGGCCATACATCATAGGAAACATTCTTTGCATGTGTCTGTGTACTTCTGAGTCTTTGTTTATGATTGTGCACATGTCTGTGGACAACAAATGAATGTTGTGTACATTTTATCACCTTATTCTCTCAGGCTCAGAGCAGAGGATGAGGGGTGTGTAAGTCTCTGTGTGAGCATATTTGCATGAGGTGTGTACTGTAGTGGTTAAAACAAAACAAACAAATATAGTTAATAGTTAATATTTGTGTGGTTAATGTTTATTTTTGCCAATGTAATAACTGTATTGACATTAGCTGTACTTAGCTAGCTTTCAGTGTATGCACCAACAGTAGTATGTGTGTATGTGCCTGTTTATGTTTGTGTGAGACTGAAGGCAAAACCAGGAAATTCAGCTCTCTTCTCTCTATCCAGTCCCTCTTCTTTGTTTCTCATTTGTTTTTACATTCATGCAAGATGACTGGCAATTTTTAACTGAAACTTTGTGTGGTTTTGCATCATCTTGTGTTATTTTACTGACTTTGTAGGCAACTACACCACTGGTAAAATTCACAAAGGTCTGTTTGAACACACCCGTATTTGTTTCATTTCTCATGTTTAACCATTTCTTTAATTTCGAAAGCATCCTAAGTATGGTGTGGCCCTAATAAACAGGAATGAGATACAGTACCACTCATGACTTGTGCACTTCATAAAAATCCAACAGGGGAACAGAACCCTCACAAAAACATTTACAACAAGGGTGTTAAGAGCCATCCAGTTTAATCATACATAACCACTCTCCAGTGTTAACTTCTCCTGTTAGTTTATGAGCTGCTCAGGGTAGCCATTACAAATATGTTGCTGAGAAAATGTAGTTACGAGGAACAAGGAGAGGGTTAAACAGTCACCTTTCTATGTCGAACACCTCTGCTGTCCAGGAGCACATGCAATCAGAAAGGACTGGTCAAAGGATGGATGCAAGAAGAAAGGGAAGATGCAAGATGTAGCCTCTAACCATGAGTGTTTATTTCTGTCTGTGTGATCTCCTTGTTATGAGCTGCCAGTTTGCCAAAGGTGTTTCCTATATATTCGGGAATGTTGTAGTCTCTATAATGCTGAATAAGGTGGTAAAGATAGTCAATTCAATAATAAACTTTGATTGAAATAAATATGACATTTTTGGATTTAAGCACTTAATAACACAATAAAGCACAACTTGAAATGCTAGTTCAGTGAAATAAATGAACAGATTTGTAAAATATGTAATTGAAAAGGAATGGAATTAAACATAATACAAAAACAAGATAAGAAAGTCAAGACTAAAAGTCACCAGGTGCAGTTTGCATCTGATTTCACTCTGTTCCAAATCCACTCTTTGCACAGTAGATAGTGTGTGTTACTGCTGACGCAGCTCTCTTACTCTGTGCGGCTAGATTACAGAGCAGAAACACACTCATATACACACAGACACTACAGTAGATGGTTTCACTATATTGCAGTACTCGATACAGTATAAACTGTACACACTAGAGTTTTTCTCTATCTACAATGTGACTTTCATGTGAAGGGTAAATGGGAACCAGATAATATTCAGAATCAAGACAGAAGGAGAGTAGAGGAAGGCACAGTGTGGTGCATAAAGACACACTACCAAAAGGACATTTAAACAGCCATGTTTTCAGAAAGCACATGCAATAGACATGATTTGTGATGTGAGACCAAGTATAATTTGTTTTCAGATGCTGCAGATATTACTCTCATTCTCACAGCTCTCTGGGTTTATGGTTTCATGGAGAGAAGGGTGAATCAGTGGGCAGGACTAAAGTAAAGAAAAATGGCCACAGGGGGAAAAACTGTGTATGCATTATAACTGCATGAAGTGCACAATCTAGCATTACATATCGTTTTGAAGGTCAGGTAGCTAGAGTTAACCCAGTTATAATTTATATTTGTTTATGTGATGAGAGCTTTGTTTTCAGGATAGTCTTACTATGAAAGAATTAATGGCTTTCAAATGACATTACTGCAGGTGTGGATAGTGACTGCCAGTCATGAGTAACATTAGACAATGGAACAAACCATTCCCCCCTGCTATAAATCTTGCTAATCTGCTACCAAGATGAAGGTGCTGCGTCATTGTTCGTCACATTGCTTCTGGTATGTAGTATGATGTAGTTCTGTTTTTTCCCACTCATCACTGTGTAACGTCTCTATCCCACAATAGCTGGACATACATGAACAGTAGAGGGTTTTTTCTTCTTAACTGATGCCTTTGTGCGGGCAGTGTGTAGACAGTGAATCACTGAATGTCTCAAGTCAGTCTCAAAGAAAGACACACACACATAATCAGTGCATGACAAAAGAAATCTTTACTTAAAAGAACTGTAGTGAGTATATACTTATAGGTGTGCTTACAGTACTTACAGTATAGATATTTTCATTAGTCGGTTTGTACAGTTTATGTTGTGTGCATGATTATTGACTCCTTGCCAGGGATAGAACACCTCAAGTTCTGGCCCAGGATTTATTAATACCATGTCTACACAGACAGTGTTTCACCTGTGTTTTTCAGTTGTCCATCTCACACCCATGTGATGGGACAGATACACTCCTACTATCATCAGGCCAAATTAGGTTGTATACCAGCTCATGCGTCATCTGTGCCATATGCCTCTAAATCTGGCCCAAAGTGTTTTTTTATGCTTCAAGTCTTCTGTCTTGCATTTTATGTATGTATTGTAACTGTAATGGCTGTGTTGATTGTCCCAACCTGTGTTAGTATGATATGATACTCCACATTTCCATTATGTGTGTGTGGATGTGTGTCTAAGCGCATGAATCACAAGGATGCCCAGGGTTTGTGCTGATGTGGTACATATTTCCTTTTTTGACAGACAGAAAGAATATTCATAGAATGATTGTTTTTGTTTTCTTGCCCTTTGCAAAGGAAAAGAAAAATGATGGAAAACATATAGATATAGGGAGTTTGCATGATTAAGAGATTAGCGTCTGTGTGTGTATGTCTTGTGTGTTTGCATGCACTCACATGGGCTGGTCAGTTCCTTATTCTGCTGGCTGATGATGCAAAAATTACTGTTAAAATAAACAAATGACCCCTATTTGCTGGATCATCATCAGGATATGAGTTCTTGAAGTGTCTTATGTTGATGCTGATGTGAGTCAGTTGTGAGAAAAACTTATGTCAAATACATACAACAATCTAAATCTGGTCGGAGTCTTGATTGTTTCACTCACTACTGAACACACTTACACTTGTTTGCGTCCCAGAGTGATATTAAATGCACTCAAATGTAGAAACATTACTGTACGTCTGGGGCCTGAAAATTAAAGTTAAAGTTTTGTGTTTCAGAATGATCTTAAAGCTTGTTTCTCAAAAACATGTTGTGTGCTTTTGCTTTTGTTCCCCTTTGTGTATATGTCTGCTTGGCTGTGTATGTCTGTTCATGCGCTGTGTGTGTGTGTGTGTGTCTATATGTAGCAGTGTGGATAGGATCCAGCAGCTAAGGAGAGAGTACCATCAGGCGAGAAGAGATGGAATGGTTCCACCTTATGAAGAACTGGACCCGCGACGCAGAGTGCATGAAAACGACATACATAGGGTAAGTGTAGCATACACATACACACATCTAAATATGGGCACATAAGGAAACAAATATCTACAGAAATGTAGCTCATGTATGTGAATAGCCTCATAGTCTCTTCATCTGAACCTTTTTCAGTCCTGATATTTATTAAACTTTTCATCAGTTGTTTCATCAAGTTGTCATGTGTACACACCAGTGCAGTATGTACATACGCTCAGTTGGCAGTCTATTATGTACACCTACTGTAGCTAAAACTAATACAGCAGTCCTCCAATAAAACTGCTGTTTTAGACTTGATGATTCAACGGTATGATCATTCTGGAGGCTGTAGCTTGTGGTGCTGTTGAGTATCCTGACGGGTGTTTCTGCGGAACCATCTGCCCAATTTAGATCAGTGACACTGTGCTACAGTAAATAACCAAAATACCTCTCATACAGTTTGATCAACACCTCTCTAGACCAGTTTTAACAAAAAAATGAACATTATCACCATCATGAAGAAGGATTTATTGCAGGACTGCTGCTGTATTAGCCAGTTTTAGCCGCGTGTACCTAATAAACTAAATGTACAGTGTGTGTGTTTTAATTCCTTATCACCTATCAGAATAATCACTGATTTTATTGTGTCTGCCGAGTGATCAAGGCCCTTTAACTGTCACTTGCAAGTGCTCTTTGACTTTAATGGCTCCTGCAGGCATTGAACTGATAGGACTGAAATGATCCACGGTTCACAGAGAAGATAAGTGCAGGTTTTACTTGCTTGTCATCCCACAGATACTGTTTTTCAAATCACAGAATTATCATCACACCCTCACAGATTCACTCCTGAGCTCAGGCAGCTGGCGTCATGTTGTTAAAAAACATGTCTGTAATGTGAAATAACAGTAAATTATTGATGCACTAACAAGAACTCACCTCCCACACTGGTGCAAGGTGTCACCCTGCAGTGACTGTGTTGGTTGCTGTTGCTACCCAAGTCTGAATATTGCTATTAAAAACATGTTGAAAAGTATCAGATTTTATTTTCATTAGTCTGGAAGTGCCATTACTGACAGTATGACAGTATGTTCCCTCCTACCTGCTGCTGCACATTTGTATGTGTGTGTGTTTTACCAGTAAATGGGCTGATGATGTCTACCCTTATTGATTATGCTTTTAATAGAGAAGGTGCATAGCAAAACCTGTGAAAAACTTTTTTAGACAATTTATTTACACAACTAATTTATTTATTTTTTATAAACATGGGTAAGAGAGCAATCTGAAAATGAGAGCTGATGATATTCAAGATTTAGATTATTTATTAGTTGTCACTGAGTGATGAAACTGTAGGGATACACAGTAACAGAGGCGACTTCAGGCTCTATATTTATTTTTCCTTTCCTGGGAGCAAAAGCAAATCTTAATCACACGCTTTCAGGACTT